TCGTTACGATCCGACAATGAAACCTCGGACTGCGGATGGCGAATTTTCTTGACCGAGTGCATTTAATCATTTGCGCTGTAACAACGAGTCGGACTCGCGGTGAAGATTTCATGCGTGATCATCTGATCGTTTCATTCGAACACGATAATATCTTCGAAATCGAAACGAAATTCGATTCTTCTGTTATCAAAGTTCGAAAATGAAAGTATAAGAAGCGACGTATAAGAAGCGAATACTGTTCTAATAAGGATATGATTAACCAGTTAGCTGTTGCAATCTCTTTGAAATGTGTGTCAGTTACTGTGATTATACCGTATACAAGTTCGATGTTTCTTATATTTTATCCAAATACAACACTCTTATGAAATATACAATTTAATAGAGAATACCAAAGTATACTCGCATACACGTAAAAAAAACAGCTAACTGTTTAAGAACGAAGAGATGCTATTCAACCGTATTTGTGATGTTGTGAACGACATCGTAGCGCAAATGGTTAAATCGTCACCCAATTACTCAATTATCGGCTATTCGATTAAATAAATTCGCAACGTACAACAAATAGTCCAATGGATCTACAAAAGAAGAAGTAACATAAAAAAAATATGCACAGAAAAATTAACTGAGAATTGGCATGAACACGTTGGCATCAATCGTACGGTGGTGAAAATCTCCCTTCGTGGATTAAGGGTTGTGCTGCATCTCGGATGTCGTTGAGCGTGAACGCCCACATTTTGTTCGCATGAACGACACTGGTCTATCCAGAATATTTCCGAGTCCCTCCCGTTCTTATCTTCGAGGTCGATTAACCGATTAACGAACGACGTATAAAAAGTCAACTTAATTGAAACGGCGCGACGCGACGGCGTTGGATAAACAGGCGCGCGACGATCGCGCATTTGGGATCTTTAATTTAGGCTGGTACACACAGTGCTCGTCCGCGATTACGGCCCATTATACGATCGAGTGCATATTATAGTTGGCCACCGGTGGGCAATGTGCAATGAGACGAGAGCGCTCTTTCCAGGCCGGGCGTAACTGCCGTTCTGTAAACAGGAACGTGCCATATGGCGGCGCTTGTAGAGGCGTGATTAGTTTCCTCTGGTTGAACGGTGAAATTTCGAGGCCGGGAACGCGCCGCGTCGGGTATATCGACGCAACGAGCGTCGTTCGGCGGACAACTGGTCCCCATTTGATTGTACAGCGCCGTGTATAAACGACGCATCCTGTGTGTGCACACTCTTCTGCCCTAGCGATTGTCCGCGCGCGCTGTTTCCGAGAGATACACGTTCAATGGGATCTCTCGACGAATTATCGAATCCCGGGACAAAAATACCGCGATCTAGCCCGCCGATGCAACGGGAAACGATGCAGTTGCATTCTGCGGCTCTCTCGGCTGACCATCGCGCGCCGCGCCAGCGGTTACCCTAGTTTCGGCTCGAAATCAAAAAATCTCCGGCCGTCTGCAGAAAGTAATACAGGGTGATTCTAGTAACTGGACCGAGCTGCGGCCTCTGTTCCAGTTTAGATTTTAGAAAAGAAAGTTGTAGAGACAAATTTTGCATTATTTAACAAGCCCTGTTATCCTATAATACGATATTTTTCACAAGTGCAAGTGCACTTTCTTTTGCATATTTCTCGCAGGCAGATCGAATCTCTCTCTCTCTCTCTCTCTCTCTCTCTCTCTCTCTCTCTCTCTCGGTAAAAATTATATTATTATTAGGGTATATTATATNGTCCCCATTTGATTGTACAGCGCCGTGTATAAACGACGCATCCTGTGTGTGCACACTCTTCTGCCCTAGCGATTGTCCGCGCGCGCTGTTTCCGAGAGATACACGTTCAATGGGATCTCTCGACGAATTATCGAATCCCGGGACAAAAATACCGCGATCTAGCCCGCCGATGCAACGGGAAACGATGCAGTTGCATTCTGCGGCTCTCTCGGCTGACCATCGCGCGCCGCGCCAGCGGTTACCCTAGTTTCGGCTCGAAATCAAAAAATCTCCGGCCGTCTGCAGAAAGTAATACAGGGTGATTCTAGTAACTGGACCGAGCTGCGGCCTCTGTTCCAGTTTAGATTTTAGAAAAGAAAGTTGTAGAGACAAATTTTGCATTATTTAACAAGCCCTGTTATCCTATAATACGATATTTTTCACAAGTGCAAGTGCACTTTCTTTTGCATATTTCTCGCAGGCAGATCGAATCTCTCTCTCTCTCTCTCTCTCTCTCTCTCTCTCTCTCTCTCTCTCTCTCTCTCTTTAGAACATTCTCGGTAAAAATTATATTATTATTAGGGTATATTATATTATAGTAAGTAGTTAATTATATATTATAGTATTAGGATACAATGACAAAAAAAATTAATTTCGTCGCGTCACCCTTGGAGCAATAAGCACGAATTTGTATGCAAAATAAAAATTGTCTGCCTTGATTGCAAGATGCAATTTCTTTTTCTCTTGAACTGCTTTAGCGACTTGAAAATAATACAGTATTTTTAAATTCTTTGAATGTTTTTTGTTTGATCTACTCATGTTTGTCATCAAATCCGCTGTCTAACGATAAAAGGGTTGAATCACGTCTCGGCCGTCTGTCGCCATCTTATTAACGCTAAATCTGTCGAGGTCCGAATCAAGAAATCGATTCAATAGTTTCTAATGCAAGCAGTTTTATCGCATCAATAATTATAAAATAAAAAATGCGAAACCGGTCGTTTGACCGGCGCTGATAGATTTAGTGTAAATTCCTCGAACCTGCGAATAAATGCTGGAGGTCTCGATCGGACGATCGGAAGACAATAGCGACTGCTGGCACCGTTTGTTATGCTGGCCTTTATCGCGCGTCACTTCGGCATGCAATCGGCGTTTGCTAACCGGAAGTCGCCGATAGCTCGACGTATCCTTGACGCGGGACTATAATGATCGCACTGCAGATTCCGATGTTAACATTACGGTCATGAGAAATCGATGATAACTGATAGATTCGATCTCGAGATGCGTTTAAAATTGTCCTCTGTTCAAAAACGAACAATTCTGTTTCGATTTCCCTTCCGCTGGGCGATTATTAAGGTGTCGAGAATGGAGTGAATAAGAAGAACGAACGAACGAACGAACGAAATGGTGTTTTGATGATGCCACCGTATCCCGTGCCGTAATTCGAGAGCAAACACACAAGCACACGCGTCTCGGGAATGGTATCTATTTCGAGACCAGACCGGAGATGATGCGAGACCAAGCAGAAAAGAAACACCAAAAAGACAGACAACACGTTGTCCGGGCGATGCTTCGTTATCCGGTGTCTACGGGGTGGTCTACAAGTTTGCCGACAGATTTACGCGATACAGAGTTAGGCGGCGGCCTCTGCGAAAGCTCGCAGAGATTTTCGATAGATTCGAAAAGAAGTAGAATCTCGTTTCTTTCGCAACGGATACAGCGATGTGAATAATTACAGATTCAAAGAAACTTTTATATTTGTATTGATGTTTAAACGAAAACTAAACAAAACGTCGTATTTATATGTTTCCGTGTTAGAAATTTTGGTTTGAATGTTAATAAAAACGTAAAAGCTACTTTAAATCTATATTTATGGTCACCACTGTATATGGAGTGACTCAGAAGCTAGTCAGTGTGTGTCCATTAACCTTAAAATTGAGATAAACAAGGATTTTGCAAATTGGCCGTAAGAAAATCATAATGCAAAGACAATTTTTATTATAAGATGACATACGAATTAACTAAACGAAAAAAGAATCGAAAGAAAAATGTTAATCATTTCTTAGAAATAACAAATCCCTCTGAACAATTCTGTTTAATCATCCCATGATCAATATAAGCGGTGCTATCTATTGTTTATTGATGAAGAAATCGGCTATATCGATTTATCAATCGATAAATATAATAATAAAAATATGTTCGCACTACTTAACGCATTTTCAAAGAAAAGTTGTGTTACGCTGGTCGGCTACTGAACCGTCCGTATGGGAGACTGCACTGGCTAGGATTACTATACATAGATTTCTGTTAATCGCCAATGATTTTTAACAATTGTCGAAACGTTTGTTCGCAGAAGGACCAAAGCGAGAAGGAGAGGACGGCGGGAGGAAGTTCTACGTACAACTCCCCGGACGATCTCTACCTAGACGATCAGGAACCTTTGGAAGGCTCTGGTCGAGGTGGCAGTGAAGGTCACGACGACCTTGAATCGTCCGGTAGCGGTCTTGGTCCCGACGACGAGGACGGCGACGACGATCACGGTACGATTGTTCTTCCTCGCTGTTCAACCGAACGCGAACGACTCGAATATACAAAGTTTACCACTTGCACTACGATTTCTTTCATAGCTACGTCGATTAACGCTTCTTTGTTGTTAATAAAATTCTTCTGCAGAGAGACAATGCTATTAACATACTTATATACTATTATTTGTTTTTATTTGCGCACTTTCGTATTGTTTATTAAATTATTTTATAAAAGTGTCGTATTTGAACAACATACGAAGCAAATCAAATATCTAACAGGATAATTACAGTAACTTACACACTTTTCAAAGAGGTTGCAGCAGCTAACTGGTTAATTGTACGTCAACGTTAACTTTGATTGCCAAAATTGTACTTTTGTAACGTGTCACCAAATATTGAAATGTTTTGTTCAAACTCGAAGTTGCGATCCGCAGACCACAAGTAAAAGGATAATTAATATCGTAAATCTGAATTTCGTAATTTTTGTTTCGTTAACGCTAAATCTAACGAGAACTAAGAGTGTATAAGGTGCGTTGCTTTCTAAGAATAACAAGCCTGAATTTATATAGACTTTTCGACGCTTCTATCATAACGTGTGCTTGAATTACAATATTTATTCCTGAATTATTCTCTGTGAAAGCGTCTTTATCGTTAGAACGATTTTAGAAAAAAATGTGAAACGGGTCATTTCGACCAGCGCGGTAGGTTTAGCTGGTAAGTTGAATAAATTGCTTAGGAACTATCGAGTTTCCTACCTGAATGGACGACCGACGTGCGAAAAGAAGCTATATTCAGTGAATTACCCTCGAAATCTTCGGAACGTGCCTGACACGCCTGTTATACGCATATAGTGCAAGGGATTAATTCTTAATGGAGTTTTCCCAAAAACTTTTTGAGCGTTCTCTATATCGGCCGCTTGCTTAGTTCGGTCAGCACGAATCCCTGGCAGTGATCCTTTCGTGCATTGTGTCGCAGATTTCAGCAACAACAATAGGATAGACCCGGTGCCGAACAACAGGCCGACAGAGCCGGATGAGCCGTACTCCGTCGATGAGCCGATAATCAAGCCCAAGGAAAAGGTGATTATATCCGAGAGCCGTAACTTTTCTTGCGTCTAAATTGAAACAGGGAGGAACCGGAGGACCGATATCACGGTAGTAAAACGCGTGTAACGTTAAGAGGGGATATTAGATTTGTTTGAAAATGCGTGTCGGCCCCTCCTCGTTCGTCAGCCGAATTAAACGGATTAAACTGATTAAGCCGTGTCCCGTTGCAGGCCAACGTAGAGACTGTAAACCGACCCGGCAACGAGGTCGATGTAATCGGGCCCTCAGGTGTCGAGGGCGACCACTCGGACAACACAGACGTCTACATGAATCCGAAACACGAGGACCGCGCTAGCTCCTTCTTTGCCCAGCCAGGCGTGCTGGCAGGTAAGCTACCTGTTCTCGCTTAATTTACAATTTTCCACGAAAATCACCTAAAACATTATCATCCGCTACTAAATATTTCCGAGGCTTCGGAAACCTTTCAAGAACCAAACACGATTTTCCAGCATATCTTTCGTTTGTAACATGTACTTCGTGGAGTATAGGGCAGCGGAGCCGGTTACTGTGCCTTTGGCTTGTTTTCGGGCATAATTAACTTTTCACTTGTCGCATGAGACATATTGAATTTCGTTGTTCCTTTATTTCACTCACTTTCTAATAAAAAAAATTTAATATGACTTATTCGATAAATATAAAGTTAATCAGGTCCGAAAAAACAAACCAAAGATACAGCAATTGGTAAACCCACAGTAATCGGCTCCGCTACCCTATTTCCAAGACGGACGCGGGTCGCAAATGCATCGGGATTTGAAATGAGTTTGCTATCGCGAGATTGATTCGATCGTTTTCCACAGGGGTCGATCGTGCTGACGCGCCGCGATCGCACGGTTCGCCGGGGCAAAATGTTAATCACGCGGTTTGCGCAATCAGTCAAACATTGGAAATTGACGGGAAGAGAATGTCTTTGTACAGCGGGAATTGTTTCGGGGCCCCCGCGTCGGGGGATTACGTTATTTATTAACGCGCTCCCTTGGCGTTGCGCGGCCAAGTATAAGGGCAACGCGCGAATCAACATTCCGCGGGAAACCGGTATTTATTCACGAGGGCGCAGGGAGAAACGCCGACGAAATTCTGGGTTAAGTTAACCGATCCGGACCACGCATAATAAACGCTCTACATAATTGACAACGCTGAATATTTCAGCCGGTGAATTATGAACTCCCTCTGTTCCCGCAAAGCCACTTAAGCTGTTTCTGATTTTCTCGGTTGCGTTCTATCGGGCCCCGATGTACCCGAATTGCCGTCGCGAATTACCGGTAGCAATCAACCGTGCAAAATTGTGCGACGCGCTGACCTCTCAATCCCTTTAACTTAATATTTCAATAATCGATGGATTCAACCCCCTGCTATGATAGAAAGAGAGTCTTCACTACTTCAATAATTTTAAACTAAACAATGTGAACCGTTCGTTTTTCACTGGTATTGTAGATTTTCTGTTAAACTTTGAGAATAATTTGAAATTGATCTGTCAAAAAACGTCTTTTGGCCTCTTTGGTAAAAAGAGAGCGTCGCCCATATTTATCAGAATCCGCAAAACGTAAGAATGTGAAAAAATTAATTCATATCGTACAGTTTAGTTAGAGATGAAATATTTTATTATTATAATATATTATATATTATATATTATATAATATAATATAATATATTATATATTATAATATATATTATATATTATATATTATATAATATAATATAATATATTATATATTATAATATATATTATATATTATATATTATATAATATAATATAATATATTATATATTATAATATATATTATATATTATATATTATATAATATAATATAATATATTATATATTATAATATATATTATATATTATATATTATATAATATAATATAATATATTATATATTATAATATATATTATATATTATATATTATATTATAATATATTATTATTGATTTTGATTAGATGAAATACTTCAACTTTATAAAATGTCGAACGTGTTGGTGCGGTGATTAAAGTTTTACATTATGTGTGGAACTCATGTAGTATATATATATATATATAGTAAATCGGATAAATATATCATTATTAAACTTGTGAATCCGACGGGGCCCTACCGTCAAGAGTTCTAAGCTGAAGGATTCCTTGTTCTGGAGATGTCGAGGGGTTGAATCGATCGTAGCCGAAGATAGAAAGATTAATATAAATGATCATTTAATAAATTTGCAGCGGTGATCGGAGGAGCGGTAGTAGGGCTGCTATGCGCGATCCTGGTGGTGATGTTCATCGTGTACAGGATGCGCAAGAAGGATGAGGGCTCGTACGCCCTGGACGAGCCGAGGAGATCACCGGCGGCACAGGCGTTCCCGAAACCGGGCGCGCCGCATCACAATCGAGAGTTCTACGCTTGAGGCGGCGAAGCCTAAGCCTGGCTTTGACATCGCCGAGTTTTGCCCCACGACACTACGCCGAGAAAGACGATGTCCTTCGACCGAATTAAGCGCCGCAGCCGCCTACCGTCGCGACAATCTATCGCAGCGGTACACAATATGTCCCGCGAGGCTCTGCTCCCGCGGAACGCACGCCTCGTCGTCAGCAACAAAACACGGGGGTTGGCTCCCCTAACCGGGGGAAGCGTCAGCGCCAGCGCACAACCTCTTTTTTCCGTCATCCTTCGATCAAGCATAATATCCTCAACAATCCTCTCTCCGTCGCTTTGCTTTTCCGTTTCGCTAAGACACCTCGGACCTCGGTCAGTCGTGCCATCCCCCCCCCCCCCTAACCAGTCGTAACTTAACCTATACACCCTTTAACAAGTGTGTCTACCCCCGTTCGTGATTGATCGCTCGGTGGTGGACACACAACGCAGCCAACCTTTTGGCTTAACGACGCTTTCTTTCGCCGCCCTAACGCCTCCCAACGTCGCGGATCGGTACTTCGGGAGTACAGAACTTTTTCCTCCTTTCTTTCGGACGTTCGGTCGATAGGCTCCACACCTCCGATAGAGAGAAAGAGAGAGTTAGACTGAGAACGAGAGTGAAAGTGAGAGAAAGTGAGAGTGTGTGTGTCTGTGAATGAGAGAGAGAGAGAGAGAGAGAGAGAGAGAGAGAGAGAGAGAATGAGTGAGTGAGGACACGCGGGCATGTGGTGCGCTGATCGAAGGAGAAGGGTAGCAAACTCAGTTCGCCGAGTCCTCGTCGGCGCTAGGTCGCGGCTAATTATTCCAGATGCATTTACAGAGCGTATATGTATTTAGGCGTACGTATACGCCCACATCACCCCCAGCCCCTGTATAGGACCGAGAGCGCGAAAATTCGTGGGCGATAAACGCTGCTGGTATAATCGTTAATCATTCTGTCCCCCGCGCCCGCCCCCTGGTGGAAGGAGGGAAGGAAGAAGGATCGTTGCGCCAACCGTGATTTCTTTTCGACGCGCATCCACGCGACCTCATTTATCAGGCCAACGCTAAACCGAGAGAGCACTGTTTGCTCTGGGAGTACCAACGATCGCCCTGAGCTCTCCGCGGAGCCCCGGAGCACTGCCCCTCGGGGCAAACGGTGCCTATGTTCCTGGCCAACCGATTCCCCCTAGCTCTTTGTTTCGCTCGGTTTTCTTCAGTCAACGATTCTCATCATTTTAATGCTTTGACCAGCGGGGTCTTAACCCCCCCAT